AGGTTAACCCGGGGTTTTAGGTGAATACACCAGGCTTCCAAGCCATGCTTGATAGCATATTACAAGGGTCCTTTCAAATTCTTTGTTGCATTGCACAAAGAGCCTTCAAGTAACTTTGTGAGCTGTGCTCTATGGGTGCCTATGTTTGAGTTGTGCGTAGCAATAAAACTCTCTTTGTCCCCTTGGGTGTGAAGCTCCCAAGCTTTGTTGTGGCGTGATAGCCGGATTAATGGACAGGAATCCGCTTTGTCAGCTGAAGCCCCCATTTGTTATATTTTTGAGCTGTGCTCGCCGGGTGCCTATGTTTGAGTTGTATTGTGCGACAAACTCTCTTTGGCCCCTTTTGACTTTTCGAAGAACTCGAACTTTGCGAGAGATATTTCTTTTTGAACCGAATGTTAAACCGGATTTTGAAAGCTTCAAAGCTTTATGGGAGATTGATTTCCCTTGAACCGGATTGTAAAACGGATATTTGAGAGCTTCAGTGAGACTGACTTCCTTTGAACCAGATTTTGAACCGGAATCCTTTGATGACCCAGAACTTCTTCACTGAGCCGGGATTTTGTCATATACTTTTTGAGCCGGAAATTCTCGGGCGGCCTTTAAATTTTCATCAATATAGCAGTAGCCTTCGGAACCGGGTTATCTTTCCCTCCATCGTCCTGGCGTTCTTACATTCGCTTAAACTGGCAAGATTTGCTGAGTCATATCATCATAGCCCCCGAGCCTTAAGACGACTCAAGGAGTTGTTTTGAGATTCTCCATATTTAACCATAGCAGAAGGTGTATATCATAGGTGTTGATAACACGATGTAAATTCACAGAAGGTTGATGTGACTGCGGTGGGTTATAAATGATCCCGTATGAGCCGTGTCAGCAACTCGGCCAATGGTTCCTTCCAACTGGTTGTTTGAAGTGGACCAAACTGTAGTGGCAGCGATTTGTGCGCATGCCCATTTATCCATCCAATGCAGACCGCGACTGAATGATAGTTTTCCTCCAAGGTATTGGAAGAAAAACTGGGCTACCCAAGCAGTGACTTGCTCATACTCAATAAACAGCTCATGCAGACAGGTGCGGCCCGGTGTGTTGATGTAGACCAGGCCGCGAGGGACGAACGGTAAATACGACTGCAACATCAGAGGCGGTACAGACAGATGAGCCGGCCGTGGCGTTGTAAGCCTGTGTGGACGGGTGAGTCAATCACAGGCGCGGTCCCGGCAAGCTGATGTAAACCGGGTCATAAGGGCGGCGTCTTGCACGCATCCATTCACCGTGTAATGTGGCACGGACGAAAACCGGGCAGGACGTTGCCAGCGCGTGCTCCGTACTCATAATATAAACCATGTTTTATAATGAATAATTGTCCTGCATATCAAAATATACGGTCCAAAGTAATTGTTCCCTTGATAAAAACAATATATATCAAGAAACTAATTTTAAATGGATATCACCTGATTTGTCCGGACGTCGGAAGATTCATATGTAATATCCGTCAATAAGCTAACAATAGTATAGCCCATCGGGTGTATACATAATACTCTGATGATCAGTGGTCGCAGAGGTTTGCCGTAACTCCTTTTTTAACACCAGTTCCTTTTAAAAATCTTGATACCCCCACAATAGCAATCAGCTGAACACTTTGACGTGAGGCTAGGAGACTCAGAGCTGAGTCGCGGGTGGCGGTTTGAACCACAGCAGCTTGGCGCGATGACGGAGGCAGCGCCCGAATGCTGATAATGGATAAATACATCTCCTCTGGCTTTTGTGGACAGAGGCAGAAGTGAGGCTGATAAAACCCATAGCAAGCGAATATGTCTATGCCCAACTGGTTACGCGCGCAACTCCAATCCCCGCCATTGCCCCTTCATGTTGATGCGAGCCCTTGCATGTGCATGGCGCGCGCTCTCTCTCTTCCTGTGCACACACTGACACATGCATGTCTTACATCAACACATCAATGCTTACTTTATCTTCCCTCTCCTCTAACTCCATCACTTTTAATTTTCTTTTGACAATTTTAGATGGCTCATATCTTTAAAACCAAAATTGCGTTTTTGAAACTTTTTGCATATTTGAACTCGTGATGCCAAGCCCTTTAAAGCAAGATCAGTCTTGGATACATTTGAAACACATTTTTGTTTGACATAGTGAAGAACTTTCTGAATAGTGGGTTTGCATTTTTCTGCAAACTGTGAAGAACTTCTCATTTTTATTGTAAAGTGCTAAATAAATGAAATCAGAAGTTGAAGAACTTTCTGAACAATGGGTTTGCACTTTGTTAGAAATATTAAAGAACTTTGCTAGAAAATGTATTTGAAGTTGGAGAACTTTATAAACAGCTTTCCTGAACTTTGATGAAATGTTGATGAAACTTGTTTGAGCCATGTACAAATTAAAGAATGTTGCTAGAAAATGTATTTGTGGTAAACTTAAATATAAAAAGTTCAAACTAGTTCAAATATATTCAACATTGATCTTGTTCTAAAGGTCTTTGCGCCAGAGGTTCAAATATATAAAATAAAATAAAATTTAAATAATGGTTTAGAAGATATAAATGATTTAAGTTTACAAAGGGGTGGTAAAATGATGGGTTTGTTTGGGAGAAAGAAGAGAGAGATACATGCAGCCTGTTGACTTGATGTGCATGTGGGATAGTTGATTTGACGTGCATGATGGATGGACTAGATATGGGTTGCGCGCGCAATAGGTTAGACAAAATCCGCTTCCCATAGCAAGTATGATTTCTGTATCCACCGAAACTCGGCAGTAATTTAACTTGAGCACTAGAAACTTCCTGGCATTTTTAGACTGATGGAGTTGTCTCTCCAGTATGTACAGTTTGGTCTTTTGGTCCTTCGGTTTGTTGTGTTGTTTGACAATAGGCATTAATGACAGAAAACAAACCACCGGTTCCAGGCAAGAGACAACGGGGGCGGGTCAAGACGGATTACGTAAACTGACCGGATCAATTATCTTTTTATGCAAGAGCTTTTGACTTTTCCCAGCCGGTTCAATGCTTCTTTCCTTGAGCATACGGACGGAGCTGACTGCTGGAGGCGGAGGTGAGGTCGTAGAAACGGCCGGCCGTCGGGGTGACGGCAGAGGTTCAAAACGAGCAGTGGCCGGTTTAAAGCGGAACAAGGCCGAGCTCCGCGGCCGGCTTCAAAACGAGCAGTGTCTCCCGGCGGCAACCTGTGGTGGCGGACCGACCCACAGGCAGCGGGGCGAGCCCGTGGTGACCCGGCAACGGCTCGAGCTGAGGTGAACCGGTGACGGCGGTTCGTGGAAGAGCACGGCTGAAGTGGCGCAAGGTGATTCCAGTTTGTCAGGCCGGCGCCCAGCACGGTGATTCAGGGCATCACGAGGAAGAAGGCGACAACGATCTTGGCGACTTAGCGTCAGCGGTTTGACGCGGTAGTAGAGGAGATCAGAGCAAACCACGACGGGTCACAATGGTGATTGCAATTCTGAATTTTGTAGTTTTGAGGCTGGGTGACCCGGAACCAAGGCAACAGTGAGGGTAGACGATTCAAGGCTGCCCGACTGTGACAGCTTAAAGTGGCGGATTGATGCTGCAGTGACGCGGCGGCTGGCCTCCGGAGCAAGCCTCGACGGAGGTGCGTAGCACTGTGGTGAAAACCTAGGCGAGCCGGATGGCTGTACGTACACGCGCGAGTAGAGCATAGCAGAGGAACAAGTCCACGCCCACGACCCCATCTGATCCGCACGCTCGAGGTGGCCCTTGGCATTGGTGAGCCCCCAGGAGCGGGCAAGCAGCAGGCCGGCGAGGCACATCCACGCGCGGGCCTCGGCGAGCGGGAGGAGCAAGGCGGAGTGGGGCGGGCTGAGCGGGAGCAGACCAGCGGGTACGGGCACCTGCGGGAGCCGACCCGGCGGGCGCGGGAGCAGGGGAAAGAGGTCGGGGCCACGGCCGCGCGCGGAGGCGCACGGGCGAGCAACGCGGAGCTGCGCGCTGGATTAAAGCGGTGAACCGGCGAGGTAAGGTGAGGAGAGCCGCGGGCGCTCGGCGAGGCGACGGCGGAGGCCGGCCGGCTTGGCGCGGGCAACCCGGGCTACGTCCATGCCCACAACGGCGGCAGCAGGACGACTTTAGACGCCGGCTTGAGGCGCGCTCTGACAGCTGAGGCGAGTCAGCCACAGTTTGTGTCTTCCGCTGCAAGGCCGCGCTGCAACAGCCCGGAATCAGTTTGCATAGAAACAGAGCAACGGTGACTCGCAGGTAGGCGATTTGAAACGACTCGGCACGAAGCCCTTCCGGTGACTCAGAGCAAGGCTGAAGCGGTGACGGCAGAGGTCGGCCGGCTCGCGGGCGGACTCGTCCCACAAGAACGACGGCGGCTCGGACTAGGCAACAGCAGGTTATTCGGTGCAACCGCTGGAAGACGGTAGCATGTGTTATCTTCAGCCATTTGGATGAAGAGCTAATAATAGGCTAGGTGTGTAGGCATCGTAGTATGTTTTTTATCATCGGATGTGGCACTTTTCAGATTTATTTTTTCAACTTTTTGCTCCGATTATGAGCTTCTTTGGACTTAAGACATTGTTACGTTCTTATTTAATAATATGGCTACATGCATTAATTGATGCAGAGGTCAGGGGTTATTCTTCTTTTCAAAAAAAAATCAGCAATACTTATTAGGAATCAGAATAGCTAAGGGGTGTCTCTTTTTGTTCCTGTCTCAATATTTCTTTACTCACTTTCTCTATAATTGACTAAGCAGCATGGACTTAATGCAAACTTTCAGTAATTTTCTATTATAGACTATGCCTATTTTCAGTTTGTTTTCTTTATAGGTTAAACTGGCCACAGAGGAAAAGCTTGATAGAAAAATTATAAGGCTTAAGCAAAAGAGGAAAAAAGATAAGAACAAACATAAGGAAGATATCAGAATACTGAAGGAAGATTCACAATACTCAAGGAATATTTCAGAATACTGAAGGAATCTCATGAAGAGCTTAATTCAAAAATCCAAGAGATGCGAAAAGAAGGGTGTGCTGAAGTAAATCATTACAATAAATCTGCATCTCAAAGGTGAGGAGTTTCTTTAGCTATGGTTTGACTAGGATACTTAGAGCATCTCCAATAGCTTGTCTATATGGATGTCTATACTCATTTTTCACGACGTGAGCCCAAAACAGTCGTCCAACAACTTGTCTATATGGTTGTCTAAATATACACATCCTCTAAATCAACCTCGACAATGTCCATGTCTAGGCAATGTGAAGGTGTCGTCTAAACTCATCTGCAGTCATGATTTCTTCCTCTCCCTAGCGAGGGCCCACCTGTTATGGTCCCTGTATATAGACGTTCTGATGCAAAACTGGACGTGTATATGAGGGAATCTTTTTTGACCATTGTTTATATGAATATATAGACATTCAAATATACAAATGCTATTGAAGATGCTCTTAGAAGGGTGTGTCATCGAGATGTGGACTCTATTACATCAGTCATTATCATCATAGCATAGGTGTGAGATAGTATTTAAATTGTGGATGGTAAACATGCCCCATTTACAGAACTGAAACATTGGATCAATTTTAAATTCTAAGAATAAAAACTTGCACCGAACTTCTTCTAGTGATATGTTTACGATTTTAGATTTACCAAATACCAGGACACTTATCCATGGCGGAGACAGCGGCCGGCGACCCTGGGTACTTGACCGGCCTCGCTGTCTACTTGACAGTGGACGTACGTATAATAAACAATGGGCGAATCTTGTTTGACATTATGAATTCATGTGATTTACCCAGGCGACTCTAGTAGGCTTTTCTTAGGCTGGCCAGAGTGGGGTAACATAACCGATAACATGCACTTGGGACTAGCAAACCTGCTTATGTGGCACACAATTAAAAAAAGAGAGAGGATTAGAGTAACATCGGTAAATACTGTATCATGTTAAATGCTAGGCTAGTTTGTGTCATGCATGACAATAAATATAGTCATCTATAATACTATTTTATGATACTATGCACTATGAAGGTTGTATCATATAGTAGTATCATATACATGATACTACTATATGATACTCCCCACTATGAATAGCTTTATAATAAAATAATGGGGTAACTAACCAGGCCTACCAAACGGCCGATTAACAACTGAGTAATGGTCTAATTAACTTTTTTTTGACGGAATGGTCTAATTAACTTGGCGTACCAAGCATCCCGAGTTGATTCTCAAAAAGAAAAGAAGCATCCCGAATTTAGCAGCCACATCGCGTTATACTTCCAAAACTATTACTACTAGAGAAACAACACGAGCAGTCAGAATTTGAAACCTGTTCGTTTCTCACCCATCGTGGAGACGGACCGGCGGCGGTCCGCTCACCGCACTCACCCGCACCAGCAGTAACAGCACTGTAACAACCACCAAAAACAGCACCCGGACTATAAAAAAGATTCTTCAAAAGCGATAATTCATCCTGGAGCCCGGACTCATCTACTCCCGCCCAGCAAAAAATTCAAAAAAAATACTAGAAAAATTCAAAAAATTTCATTTTTTTGTGGTGGTAGATATTTTGACGCGTGAGGTGTGCCCCAAAATTCAACTTATTTGGACATCTGAGTAGCTCTCAGCGAAAAAGACAAATCGGGTCAAAACAGTGCGTGAACAGTACACATTTTTACAGACCCTGATTTTGTCTTTTTTGCCGAGAGCTGCTCAGATGCTCAAATGAGTTGAATTTTGGGGCGCACCTCACGCGTCAAATTATCTACCACCACAAAAGAATTTGGAATTTTTTAAAATTTTCTAGTATTTATTTTGATTTTTTTTCTAAGCGGGGGTGCAGATGAGCCCGGGAGCCAAAACTCCGCGTCCCTTCAAAAAGCGATATTTTCAGGAAGGAAACAATGCACAAACATTGTCATTCCCCAGCCAAAGACCGTAGGTTTTCACCGTAGAGAAAGACCGCGTTTCCAAAACAATGCCTTCAACAAGGCCACTGCGAGATACAATCAATAAAGGCCAGACCTTGGATTTTCACCCTGAAAATCAGACTCGATACTCAAAGGAGCACCGCCAACAAAGAAATCATCCAATGCTGCTGGCCCCACTTGCAGAGGCTACTACTACAAGTCACGCACCACCAGGCTCACATGAACTCATGCCCGGTCTGGACGGGAACATACCCTGCAAGCCAAGTGTGAACAAGTGCCTCTAAAGCAAAGTCTTAATCACATCCAAGACCCCACACCTTCGCCACTTGCAGGTCCTTCAATCATGCCACGGTATTCTCCACATGTGTTGATCCCATGAAAATCTTGATGCAGACATGTCCCAAGATGTCAACAAAAATAGAGGTTGGCGATACCGCACTCAGCCGATGGCGGGCGGTGCGGATCCATCCCCTGGATCGGCTTGTGGACTACTTGTCCCATCATTTCTGATTAGTAAGTTTTGATTTAGAAATAGATAGGCTTAGGATTTAAATTTTGAGGTTGCGGCAGGCGGGATTGGCCATTGGGGAAGATCACGCCTTCATGAGCTTAGTCTTTGGTTTAAGGATTTGTTCTAAGTAGATGCTACCTTCAAAATTTAAAGCATTAAATTTCATTGTTAGGACAAATCATTAAATTTCATAGATGAGGGATTTTGGTGTATTAAGCCGAACATTGATATATTATATATTAGTTCATTTTATAATTACAATTATAGGGCTATTGTGTTTATACTTTTACTACATTATTTATGTGCGTTTTTGGTTTGGAAGTTTGATGCTATTTTATATGTTGTGTATTCGAACATCCGGTATTTTTTTTGAGGGATGGTATTCATCTTCAGATTTAGACAATTAGACTCAAACTCGCCTAGACTCCACAAAAAATAGGGTTTTTATCAGTTATGCCACTAGTTGTGTCCCACTATTTAGTTTTGTCACTAGGAATTTCAACTGCTCAAAAATGCCATTGCTTCATAGGCGCATGCTCAAAAATGCCACTGGAAATCATTATTGTGAGCTCAAATCTCGTTTGCCATGTTATAATGATATAAATACCTATGGACCAACATGTCAGCTCTCCCTCTATCTCACTACAATAAAGTGTGGGTCTCACTTGATCCCAACAGCGTTCTTATTTTCTATAAAATTATTCACCTTCTTACTCCTGACAAGTGGGGGCTACACTTATCATTGTGAGATAGAGAGAACTGACATGTGAGTCTAGGGGTATTTTTATCGTATAATATGGTCAACGGATTTGACATGAGAATAACGATGTCTAATGGCATTTTTGAGCAAACATCTAACGAAATGATGGCATTTCTGAGATATCTAATGGCATTTTTTAGCAAGCATCTCATGGAATGATGGCATTTTTTAGCAGTTGTAATTTCTAATGGCAAAACTGAGTAGTGGCACACAACTAGTGGCATAAATGATAAAAAAACAAAATTATGGCTCCGCCCTACCATACATGTTGATACACAATAGCACTTTCGATAGAAGTGTACTAAGTTAGGTGTGATATTGTAAGTGATACAAACAATCTAAATAAACAAGTATAATTTGTACTTTCTTATATCATACTTGTTGAACCAAATTATATAAGTGTACTAAGTTTTGTTGAGCAATTCATGGAAATTCATACAATTAATCGTTCATATTATACAATCTAGGGTCTAGTACTGATTATGTAGACAACATAGTATAATTTGAATTTTTGAACCAAATTCTCTTGTGTTCCAGTTCTTTCTCAATCAATTTGAAGCTTATTTAGTCTAATTATCTTATGCGTAGTCTAAACTGCTAAGATGGTCCTACTACCACCCACTTTAGGAAGGATGACATGTCAGAACTGAAATAGGCATCCAAATAATGAGTGTTGCAAATAAGATGGGCCTAAGCTACTTTACTACACTTATCTAGTTATGTATAAAGAGAAAACGTAGTTCACAAGATGAGTTTTTTCTTATGTGGCTTATAAAATAAGAACAATTCACTGTTGGTCTCCTCTTTTAGAATTTAACTTATCTTCTGATATGTGTTTGTCAGATCGCAAGTAAGCCAATCAACAAGGTTTCGACTAGTAATTGAAAATAATGTGAGCAGAACAATTTACAAAAAGGAAACTGTAGAGATCGAGGATGGCGGAGGTCACATAAAAGTTGCCATGTATGATGGTGTCAATCGAATTGCACATGACCACCTTCTTGCTTCAGCAAAAGTTGACCTAGTTGTCATTGAAGGATGTTTCAATGAACCAAAGCGAGATTCTTGGTCTAAAGAGGAGTTTGAGGAAAGCATAATAAAACCTCGAAAAGGAATCACAAGGCTAGTGAAAAATGGTACATTTGATCTGACTGATGGGTGTTGTGATCATGAAGGTGCCATTATTATGGATAATTCGCAACAAAGGGAAGTTAAGCTTGGAGTAATGATTGCAGTGCCTACAGGTGTAAGAGTTCTTGAAGGAGTATCAAATCCTTTCAAAGTGCAAGAAGGCAAGACAAAAAGTAATGGTTTTTTCTTTGAATATCCTATCAGTTACTTTAATCTCAGTACTAAAACATGGTCAACTTTTTCTACATGTGATATGTTACATAATCTACTCTAATAAATAGGAGCATGTTTGATACTACCACAATTTCCTTTTTCTTTGTTGCCTCAAAGTGATCACAACTTTGATTGAGGGAATGGTGAAACGTTCTGTCATTGTATTCCTCTATCTTGTTTACGCTAGTTGAGGTTTTTTTTTTTCAGAGCCAGGATCAAATAAAAAGGGTAAAAAGCCTTCTCCAGTTCCAATGCGAAACTTGGCACAGACAACCAGCACCCACACAACACAACATGGTGAAGGCTTGTAATTATCGTTTTTCTTTCTCTATTCCTCTGTTTATATCAACTAACTTGTTTATGGCTCACCAACAGGCCAAAGTCCTGTTACTCCAGACGAGCAACATAGTCATCCACCACCTGCCATTCAAGACGTATTGCAGAAATCAGGTAACAAGTTAGTGCTTGAAGCCTCCGTTACCACTAGACGAGTAAACGTAAATGATTGCAGATGATAAGCCTACACTTTCCTCATGTGCAAGAATTTGGTTGTGTATTTTTCATTTTATTTAGTTTTATTGTCTTGAAACTTCGCAGAATGTGGAAAGCATACAGAATTTCTGACTGATGACACTGCAGTGGATAATCGAGTGAGTTATCCACCAGCTATTGTGCCACAGATGGTTGAGGGAAATGGTGAAGCCTTCTATCTCAGACTTCTTTATCTTGTTTACATTAGTTAGTGTGCAAATGTTCAAATGTTTGTTTCCAGGGCAAGCCCTAAACTGCAACGGTCAACAGTTTTCTCAACAAATCCCAGTGCAAATCTTGTGGCAGCCAACCAATGCACACTCAATGCAAAATGGTAAGTGCTAGTATAAGGTATTGTTTATTTCTCTGTTTCCCAAAGTAAATGAAAGTGACTGGTTTTCGGCTCGCCAACAGGTCAAGACTATAGTCTGCCACAAACAAGCATTCAGAATCCATCGCAGGCAGCAGGTAATAGTTAGTGCTTCAAGCCTCCTCTACCACCAAATGAATGAATGATTGCGGATGATATAATACTTTGTATGCACCTCCAGGATATTGTCCAGTCTATCAACCCTTACTTGCTCGTGAACAAGATCAGTATACTAGTTTCTTTGATGCAAGTTGTCAACTTGCATTTCCCAACCTTTCAGCATACACGGCATTGAATGATATTCACCAGGTAACTTTGATATGCATTGAGGAGTTACTAATCCGTACAATAAGACTCCAGGCGAAGCTAGCATCGGGTTACGCCTAGGGCTAAGTTAGCTTGAGTGATGCACTCTAGTGATTTTCAATACTTTGTAAGAAGGAATTACAAGGGCTGTTTTTACTAGGCCTAGGGCTATAGCCATAGCTTCCCCAAGCTTGTCTCCGCCACTAACTCCAGGTTCGTAGTCTAACAAAAGTGACAAAAGTATGTATTAGAGTCCACCTGTCCAGTTACCATTGTTTCCATATCTATAAAGGATGTGTGATCCTAAGGGATAGCAGACCATTAGGCCTAAACTTTTCTACAGTACATTATGGTGTTACCAAACATATGGAATGGTTTTGAATTTTGGGTTTGTTTTGCTACATTACCTTGTGTCTAAGTGTTTTCGTCAGTTTCACCTGTCATGGGTATTAGGATGATTATATGAAATGCAATTACTCAAAGAGCAATAAGTATATAAAAATTTCCCAACAAAAAAGTGAGTATATATATATATTTTGACATTTTAATGAATTTCATAAGTGCTTTACTCTATATCATAGGAGATTGTAAATTCTCTTTTGACATGTTTTGTTTACTTTATTCAGTGGACTTCCATCCCTGAAGGGGAGATATCTGTGGATGATGTACATAATTTAATTGTCCCGACACAAATTCAAGATACTTGTAAGTTCAAATTAGAGGCAAATACCGTTTGTCTTAACTTAATAATCATTCTGATAGCATGTGCATGTGTCACTTTCATACTTTTGGACTTATTTACTTGATGAGTACAAAATAATTATTACAATTCATCAAAACATTAATATGTTTGTTTCATGCCTAATTTTAACATGATCCCTCTTACCTCCTGCTTTCATATTTCTTAATTTGCATAGAATATGTTTACCCTTATACTTTACCCAGTTTCTAAAATTGCCCCCTGGCTGTACATATTAATTCTTGCTATTACCTTCTAATTTTGTAAGATATCACTTATTGATTCCCAAGTAAACTCCACTAGGTTAACATGTCGGGGACACATGTTAGTTATCTTTTTTTTCCTCACCCAACTCTGTTTCAGCAGAAAGGGACTATATGGGCATGTGGTACATGAATGCAGGGTCAAGAAAAATGGCAAAATGAATAAAAGAAGAGGTTAACTGGGTCACTATTTGTCGTGTCTATATTTCTTTACGGAGGGAGTACATGTCAGTGGCTCAATTATTGAACTGTTGTACCTATAAAATTGATAGGTGGTGTTCGGATAGATAAGTAAAAATGTACTGAAACCAATTTTATGCGTTTTCCAAAATTCATGCGGTACACAATAAAAGATAAGCATATTGATCCTCAAAACAAAAAAAGATAAGCATATTTGCGGAAAAGCTTGTTGGAGCCAAACTTCATTGACCAAAGGGCTTGTGCCAAGCTAAGTTGTGACTATCTTGTGTGACTGTTCTGTAGATGGGTCATTTAGATGTGGTCAAGTATTACTTCAATGGGATAAGCCTCATGTGGAGCCCAAGGAACACTGGAACTTCCTTGACGAGCTCATGCCGCTGCATAGCACACAGTCAAGGTTTTATGGAGAAAGTTTCCCCAGTACAAGCCTCATGGATAAAGTCCATAAGTTACTTGCCAGCACTTCATCAGGTGATTCTGTTTTGAAGATGATTACCGGTGTTATGAGTCGAGCCATGCAGACTCCTCAGAGGAGAGGCGTTCTCATTCGTGCAATTGAGCCATATGATTCAGATGATAAGTGCGTTGGTTAATCCAAGGCTTTCTCTCTCTCTTTTTAGAAGTTTTCATTACTTCTGCTGGAAATCGAGAGGATCACTTTCATGTGCCTAACATTTTCAGGCCCCCGGTTAAGAAGCAAAGGAACGCCAAATATCAACTGCGGTTTGTCAACAGGGTTCGCAATGACTACTACACCCAGGAACAAATCAAATCAGAGGATGGGAATCTCTTAAAGGTAGCTTTGTATGATGAGAATAATCTGGTAGTCACATCTGGTCCGCTGTCTTCAGCTTCTGTGGAGGTCGTATTACTTCATGGCGATTTCAATGCTGATGGCCAAGATTATTGGACATCACAGGAGTTCAGTGCCTGCCTAGTGCATTCACAATCTGTAGAAGAACCACCAGCCTTGGGAGGTGATCGTGTCTTGGCACTGACTCATGGAGAGGCAGACGTTGGTAATGTCAGTTTCCAGATTTCCTCCTTCCATGCCAGAACTGGAAAGTTCAAGATGGGTGTTGAGATAAAAAACGTACGAGAAGAGAGTGTTCAACAAGGAATCACTAGCCCATTTCTCGTGAGAGTTCGCCAAGGAGAAGGTATAACTTTTTGGGTTAATCTTCTTGTCGAACATGATTTCTCATGCAATTTCTGTAGGATATTTCATCCCCCAAAAAATCTAGTAAAACATTGCAGTCCTTATACAATTTTTTTCCTAAAATAATATACTACTCCCTCCGTCCGAAAATACTTGTCATCAAAATGGATAAAAAGAGATGTATCTAGAACTAATATATGTCTAAATACATCCCATTTTATTCATTTTGATGACAAGTATTTCCGGATGGAGGGAGTATATAGTAAGTAAAATTTAAACCAGGAAGTAAGATATTTAATAAAATCCTAACATACATTTCTGAGAAAAAGTAAATACATAGTAATAAACTGGGCAATCTTTTCTTTTTTTTCAGAATAAAAACTGGGTAATATTCAGCTCTTCGCAGACCACTATTATTCAAGTTAATGTATTGAATTTTTTTCAAAAGTATCATGTTTTTTGTAGCAATTTCGGAAACTATAGTGTAGAATGAGAAAAATGCAAAACTAGTAGCCCGTCGGCCAGGGGTGGGCCGAAAAGGGGCTTTTCGGCCAGGGCATGGCCGAAGTAGGCTTTTCGGCCGCGCTTGGGCCAAAAACGCGCTGTCGGCTGGGGCCCGACCGAAAATAGTAGCTTCGGCTGCTGGGAGGCCGAACTGGGCCGTTTTCGGCCCACAGGTGACCGAAGCAGAGCTTTTCGGCCAGGCTACGGCCGAAAAGGTGCGGATAAGCCCCGCCGACGCCAGCGCTCTGTTCTTTCCTGTTCTTCTTCGTTTCCCTTTCTCTCTCTCAGTTCTTCTCTACCTCGCCCCCCCGCGCCGATCTCCTCCATTTGCCACTCATTTGCAAATCCAACCCACAGAATCGGTAGATCATCGCAATCTCCACCGGCCTATGGTGTTATTTTTTGCTATGGGATAGTTTTTGATGTGTTTGGGGAGGAGTAGCCATGGTGGGGAGGAGGAGCCATGGTGGAGAGGAGGACGGGTAGTAGGTGGTGGTGACTAGTAGAAGCTGCTGCAGAGGAGGAGGTGGTGAGGAGGAGGAGCAGGTTAGGGGCTGACCGGAGTTGAACCTCCGGTCGTCGGGGGCGGCGTTGTCGTTCTCCGGTGGTGCAAGAAGCGTACACACACTTCGAAGGTATAATCACGGCCTCACTTCCTCCTCCAGCACATCGTCCGCCACGTCCCTCTGTACAGCATTCAGAACCACGACCCTCTGTGCAACGTTCACAACCATGACCTTCTGTGCACCGTGCAGAACCTCATCCTTCACAGCCAGGGAGCTCTTCCAGGCATGAGCCACCTCCTTCACAGCCAGGGAGCTCTTCCTGGCATGAGCCACCTCCTTCACAGCCAGGGAGCTCTTCCTGGAATGAGCCACCTCCTTCACAGCCAGGGAGCTCTTCCTGGAATGAGCCACCTCCTTCACAGCCAGGGAGCTCTTACTGGCATCAGCCACCTCCTTCACAGCCAGGGAGCTCTTACTGGCATCAGCAGATGGAACTAGGTAACCCTACTCACTACATTCTTTTGAACAGAGTAGTAATCGTTCATGCATTTGTATCAATTTTACAAGTTTTTTACTTTACCGCAGGCGGCAACCTGTCGCAACCGTTCATGCATTCAGAGCAGTCACCCATCCTTAGTGGTGGTGCTGATTACTTTGAGGGCGACCGCGAGGATGATGACCATGCTACAAACATTTATGGCTTCTCGCAGACAGTGTTTCACACTCCACCACCACCACCGACGCAGGAGACACAGACCGTGACAGACGAGGTTAACTATGGTCGTGGTTATCGCGAGCCTCGTCCACCGCCTCAGCGCTTATCGCCTTCCGGTCCTCGCCCGAGGAAGACCCAGACTCGTCGCCGTCCCCCGCAGTGATATGCTTATTATCTATGTATGACTCATTATCTATGTTAGTTTCAGACTATTCGCATATGCTTATTATCTATGTATGACTCATTATCTATGTTACTATCGCACTTCCTTCTATCTGATCAGGAGACATATATTGTTTTATGTATGCGAGAGACATATTACTATTAATTCGCATTCTTATTCCAGTTACATTTCCAAATAGATTACAACCGATAATTAAGATACAAGTACATCTGAATTAAA